TAAACTTCTAGTTTACTACATTAGATCTGAACATCAGAAGTGACCACCAGTGAGGTCCAAGAGAGGAAGAGAACACAGAGAAATCCTTCTGTTAATGTCTCACTCACTTCTCATATACCCACATCACTGAATTGCCAGAGATACTGTCAAAGCTGAGTCAAACCCAGGCCCACAGATGGAGAGCCAGAAGTAATGACTACATGTTTATATCCATCACTTACCGGTATCAGAAAAGGAGTCTGTATTATAATTTCATGTTTTAATCACACACATACACACAGAGACACCCCCAAGTGATCTGCATTTTTAGGAGCAAATTAAATTCTTATGGTTTTATTTTTAAAACAAACCATTTCTTCCCAAAACTGGACACAGAACTGCATAAGGAGGCAGTACATTGCATGCCAGAGTCCAGTGGCACTGCTGTCCTGCAGACTGGAACTTACCACATGATGCTCCAAGTGGACTGAAATTCCAGTATATGAAAGGCCTATGAGAAGGGTAATGGGGGATGAACTCTAACAAAAATATATACTTAAAAACCCTAAATATTTCATTTGTAAAGTGCCTTTTGATCCTTATAATCTTTGGTTTTAACCACTCTGGTGTCTCCTGCCAAGTATGGTTTACTTATGACATATCATCATGGCACCAGGAATGGATTTGTTCTTAAGTTAAATAATGAGACTACCTTTAGAGTTTTTTACAGCGGAAAATTCTCGTGGCATAAAAGAGTCATCATTTCACTGCTGAACTGTTATTTTCTTAGAATAACTTTGAACTCTGTAGCTTTTTAGGAAGGGGGATTTTTTCAAATAAAACACTGCTTCTCTTCTTCCCCAAAACCTCAGCTTGCATTAGCTGGAACAATACCAAATTTGTGAAGACATGTATTCAGACAGATTGTAAATTTAGCAAGAGCATTTATGTTACTAAATCCAAACAAAGAACTAAAGCAAGACGCAAAATATCACACACATACAAAAAAAGTTCCAAAAGATATGGACAGAGATTTTTGAAAGCTAAGAGCCTCAGCCACACAAGTTCAAAAGAAATTGATTAATTGTGTGGTTGATAATCTCAGTTTATATGCCAAGTTAATTTCTGATATAAATTTATTGTCTTCAGTGGAGTTGCACTGCAGATGAATTTGACAGATAGTCATGTTTCTTCTCCAAGAATAACTTCTAAGGCAGAAGGTTTAAACATGAGTGAATGAAAGTCCTGTGCCAAGTTCTACCCTAATTTATACCATGTACAAAACAGCTGACTTGGAAGCGAGGGTGTAAGGAAAGGCAAAAAGAGACATGAGTCTATTCTTCCTTTGCTGGGACATTACATCAATTCCCATAGGTAATGGTCATGTCTCTGAAAAACACAGTGGGAATCCAAAATGCAGTTTGTTGGAGATTCTTTACTTCTAAGCCTGCAAATTCTTGTATTTCATAAGCCATAAGTGTTCGGGGAAGAGCCTGGACTGGTCTCAGTGGAGGGCTATGAAATTCATTCCTATTAACTACTGCATCAATCCTAGTCTTGGTTGCTTCAAAATGCATTTGAAGATAAACACTGGAAATGGCTATTTTAATATGAATATTGGAATTAGCAAGTTAATTTAGTCAGAAAGTAATGTATTTCAGACAGTCTCAACCTCAATGTTATTTTGAATCAAAACCTAGCATTTGAATTATTTTTTTTTTAGTAAGTTGGGCTATTTTTGGCTCAGTATTAGTATTAGCCTTATATTAAATAAGGCTAACAGGTCACAGGGTACACCCAACTTTTCTAAGGTAAGAAGGAAGTAATGCCCATCTCAACTCTTTCTATTCAGCATTGCTAAGGGCAGGGGGAAGTTTTACTGCTTTGCCTGAATCATCATTTATACCAGTAGCAGAAATTTGAGCACTACTGCTAATGTCCTCACTTCTGATTCTTCTGTTGGCAGAGTTATTTTACTGAAAAGTGATGTAATCTGGCAATAAGTGAGCTCAACATAAACAACGTGGCTCCACAGTAATACCACTGCTCTAGGGGATCATTGCTAGGGCAGGCAGTGTGAGCCAGCAAGCTGGTCTCCAGAGTGACAGCCCAAGCACTTGGATGCCCTTCACAGCTCTCCTGTCATTGACTGTTTTCAGTCAAATCAGGCTGCAGTCACCTACATTGTTTTAATGCTCAACTGGAGGTCAGAGGCCCATCTGCTAAGCACCCCAAACAAGGCAAAAATGATTTCCTGCCCAGCATAGACTGCAATACTTATAAACTGAAGAGACTCCAGATCAAGAATACCTCACGTTCCCCATCGGCAGCTAGCTGTAAAATGCAGTTAGGTGCTAATATTCAGCCTCATAAAACTGTGTGGAAGTGAAAAACTTTACAGGATGGGCTGTGATCATTGCCATGAAAGAGAGCAGAAGTGTTTTGGAGTAATTGGCTGGGTCAGAAGAGGGGAGACTGGGCAGAGCCAGCCCCGCAGGAGCAGCAGCCCTGCACAGCCCTGAGGTGCACACTCCCAAAACTGGAACAGAGTTCATGACTCTGAAGCTGACACTTCCCCGCTCACCTGGGGTTGTACTGAGGTGTTTTTTTCTTCCTTTCACCAGGCCCAAGCAAGCGTCATTCAAGTACTTTATTACTGGCAGTGCCCAGCAAGCTCACTGAGCTTCTTGTGCTCCCTGCTGAGACCTGCCAGAGGGGAGACCTAATTGCCATCTGGCCCTGTGCATGGCAGCCACCTCCTATCCTTCATTTCTTTACTTCAGCTCTCTCCTGCATTTGTAATTATTTATATATCTGTATGTGCTGGAGACAAATACAACCTGTTTTTTACCTTCTCACCAGAGCTTATATCTGTGATCTTTAATTCTTCACCTTTGCAGCACTCCACACCTGTACCTATTTCATCCTCTGTACACAGCTGTACCTTTCTCCTCCCAGGCTCATCTCAGTAGTTGCAGTCCAGTTCTACTTTTCCTTCTCATTGCTTATCACCTTCTCCCTTCCTTCTTTTGGGCTACCTCCAAAATCAACTCTTCTCCCTCTTCTCCTTCAGAGTTGCTGCTCTCTATCACTTGCTCTAGGCATTAGTGCATGAGACTTTCTTCCAGTCCTGTTCAGCATTTTGACCCTCCTCTCCAACAATTTCCATCTGTAAGCATAAGGTTATCACAACTAAGTGGACCATGTTTAAATATAAAAATAGTTGGACAGGTTCTCCACTCTCTTCTGCCTTTCCTCACTTCAGTAGCTACTCCAAGTCCAGGCTCAGGCACTGCAACACAGGTACGCACATCACTGCTTCTCCCTCACAGCATGACTGTGAAAGAAGAAAGCATTTTTTAATGGTGAGAAAGATGGTGAGAAAGAAACTACAACTAACAATTAGAGAAGAATCAGGAACCAATTTTCAAAACATCGCAATGTTTAATCTATTCAATCTAAGATAAAAAGTGTGGAAAAAAAGTCCTGGTGCAACATCATCATAGATGGAAAATAAGCTACACAGAGGTCATCTTGTATTGTCATGGCATTCGTGTTAAGGACTATGACCTGAAAAATTACTTCAACTAAGAATTGCCACATCTACTCTGAGGGACAAGGGGACAAGGAGAGCATTTCTGCCAAGAAGTAAAGTAAAAAAAAAAAAAAAGTATTTCCTAAGGAAAATAGAAACTTAAAATAACACCAGTTTAAAATTGCCTCTTGTGTGGTGATCTCATTTCTTTAGGATCAGCTTCTTCTTACCCCTCCAAGGAGGAGGCATAGTTAATCTTCTGAAAACTAATGTTCTATTTGTCTGATTAAGCCAGTCTTAAGTCATTAGATTTATTCTTCAGACTGTTGCCTTCTCCTAGTCTTGGGCACAGAAATCTGGTATATAGGGTATTCTCACAGCTTTAATTTTGAAAAGGATTAGAACTGAGTTTAGCTGTCACCTTTTACTGTCCATCTGCAACCAAAAGAGTGAACAATCCTACAGGGCTGATGACAAGGAAAACTTTTTCTACAGCTGTAATGGCTGCAGTCATAGCTAGTGCAGTGATATCACTGGCTTCATCTTGTAAATGCAGAAAGGATTTTGAATAGTTGGCAGTAGCAAATGATTCATTTACTAGAAATGAAATTAACTGGAATTTCACTGGAAATTCAAAGCACTGCTTAGTTTTACATTTGAACATAATCAAAGTCCATATAAGTTGTTTTTAAAAAGGGTGGAAGGATAGAAAAAAAATAAATATAAGAACATAAGTAGTAAAATCTTAGCCTATAAACTGAAACTAGGAACTAGCTGCCCAGTGCTCCAAAATCTAAACTTTTTTCTCTATTTCTGCAAATTGATTAATAGCATATGTTGACCATTGGTTTAAAATATTATAGCTGTTTGTTTTAAGTGACAAGTAAGCAAAACATAGAAGGTAAATTGTTACAAGGAAGGTATGCCAAAATAGAGAAGGAAGCTATTTAACCAATTATTTCTGCCTTATTTACAATCTGAAGAGGAAGTTTTTAAGAATGAAATTTTGAACAGTCCTCATTTTGAAGCATTGTGGTTCAAAAACTGCCAGTTCTTTTTCTACTGCTTATAGAAAACCTAAAGCATCCAAAGCAATGTTTTTTTCCAAAGGTCATCTGCTCATAGCATTGTAAATGGGGTTGTTTTGCTTCCTTAATTGTAGAAAAAAAAAAAAAAGGTGGAAAAAATTAGAGTACCATCAAAACCTTCTGGTGTTCTTTGCCATGCATTGTTACATGGGTAAATGATGAATGCTGTAAAGAGTTTTGGTTTTATTTTCATTTTGTTTCCCCCCTCCTAAAGTCTAAGATGGGCCACAAACATTGAAAAGTTCTCAACTGCTACAATAAGCGACACTGAATTCTGCTGACAGTTCAGGGAAGCTGCTTCATGTCCTTTTACATGGAAAATTGCTGGGAAATCTTTAAAAAAAAAAATTGTTGAGTTGATGTCTTGTGTTTCTGACCCGAAATCTTTGTCTCTCCAGCTCTTGTTGTACGCTTCCTGACCAAACGGTTCATCTGGGAGTACGATCCAACGCTAGGTAGGTTATTTGATTCTTTAAGCATTGTATGCTATATTTAATAGCATGGCTGAAAGAACGGAAATTCATAGAGTTAAAGTTGCAAGCCATAGTCAACCTTTAAATTTGCTGTACAAAGCTTCTCTATGGTCATTTAAAGCTGGAACAAACTGTTACCTAAGACAGCAGAATAGAGAAGTAGTAACACACCCAGTCGAAAGCTGAATTACTGCATGAGGCACATTTCTGCCCACACAAGTCCCTGGGAATTTTGCCATTGAAATCAATTGTGCTTGTGTTTCACTCTGCAAATCATTTAGTGTGCGATCAGTTTTCTGCTTTTGAATAACCCAAACATCATCTGCTAGAGAATAAGATGGCTGGAATACAGGCCTTAAAAATTCAGGGGAAAAATCTGTAGGTTCTTACTGTCACTATACGTAGACTTAGGTAAGTTTTTTGTCCTCACTTTTGAACATATATTGTGTCTCAGTTTTTGGGTGACCAGATAGGGGCACCAAACATCAAAAATCATCCACATGTCTTTTACACTGCTCCCACTTAGCTCTGTTGGGTCTGGCACTTTCAAGAAGCTGGCTCAGATATCTCAAAAAACATGTCCAACAGTTACACTGAATTAGAGGCCTGACATAAAATTTTTGCCACGGTCAAATTTCTTAGAATTTCTCAAGTTAGTGTATATTTAAATGCTCTGCACCAGAACAGATCTGGGCCAAGAAGTGCAAGTTGAGGCCTTCACAAAGTAAAGAGCTGGGAAATTCCTTTTTTTCCAACCATGTGTTTCTGTCTCCTTCCTAACCTTTCTTTGCAGGTTCCAATGGAGATCATACAGTTAAATATCTATTTCTTTATTAATGTTCTTTCTATAAGAGGTCTGACTAAGGAAATAGAGAATGCCATAAACTTGCACAGCAAAAGCAAAGTTTAATATCTTCTATTACAGACCCCAAGTAGCCCTTTGAAAAAAGCAAAGTATCCAGGATCATATTAGTATTTTTATCTGACAAGATGAATAGATGACAGATATCAGAAACCTTATCTGGGGAAAATAAATCTCAGAACAACCTAAACTCCAATACATTCTTTTATCTGCTACTATCAATATATATTCATCAGTGAATTATGTGTCGCCTTTATTGTGCTGCACAGGGGGATGTTCAGGATAACGTTCTGTTAGTGTTGTTAGTTTTAGTTCTTCACATCTCTGTTACTATTACATCATTTTAATAACTTGACAAGATGTGTATAAAGTGTTCTATATCAGTGTAGTCTAAGTTCATTAACTTCTTACAGGGACACTGCATGCAAAAGCATCCTTTTTGCCTTGTTTAAGCACACAAACAAAGTTATTAACAAGCTGCAAGGTTTATTATTTTTCCCCTATTGTGAAGGCCCCGTGCCCTTTTTGCTGTACAAGGCTTGACATTTGTTTCTGTTTTACAAAGGAATAGAACTGCAAATTACTATGCCCCTCAGGAATTTAATGGTTGCAACACAAAGCTTTCGTGCAGACAACAGTCCTATCTCAATAAACCAAAAATTAAATCTCTCACGGCTTACTGAATTCTACATTCTCATTCAGTTTAAAGAATAACAGCTTAAAAATTATATATTACAGTCATTGTGATGCTAAGTGCTTTAAATTGCTCAGGTTTGAGCAAAGGTTTGAGAAGGTTTGAGAAAATTCAAAAACTAATAAATTATTGTCAGTAAGTTGTTTCTTGATCACAGTGATCTCTGGTGAAAGCTGCCCACCAGAAATTGTTTTTTTAAGTATTATTTTTTCAAACTAAGGATCAGAGTGGGATTCAAAGAAGGTTCTGAAGTGTTAAAAAAATATCCTGAAATTGTAACCACTATCCAGGTCTTCAGGGATCAATCAGAAATTAACTGGACCTTCAAAAGCTTTAAAAAACAGTGCTTGAAAGAATGCATTTCTGTCTTTGAAGTAATTTGGTGTCTAGTTACCTGCAAACATCACCAAGCTGAATCCACTGAAAAGTTTTAGCAGAATACATTTATTTCTTCTTAGCAGTCATGGACTGGCAGTTGGGTGGAAAGAGCGATCTCTACATGTTCAGCCCATATAAAACACTGAAATTGTGTCAGTGAGACTCGTTTGCTCTACAAGGAGAAATAAGCAGCTTTGTCAAGTAATTCTGGAAGGACATGAGTAAAACAGATGCAAACTATCCAGCTCCTAAGCAACAGGAAGTTTTGCCAAAATCACTGGGGCTGTGACAAAAGTTTCATATTTATAGTTTACTTCTTATGTCAAGTTTTCAACAACCCATTAACCCTCTGATCCAAGGAATCCCCTGATAATTCCTATTTTTAGGAAAGTTTTCACCAAGCTGTCCAAGGCCTGATGGAAATTCAACATTATCCTAAACTAAACATCAGATTTAAAAAACCCTATTCTTCTTTTAATTCATGGGTGGCAGATTGTATCTGGAAGGGGAAAAACCCCATACCTTTACTATTCTTTACTATTTTAACCTGCCAGAAATAAATGAAGGACCGTATTTTTAGCAACACCTGGATATACTGCTGTATCTCCAGGAGCCGAATTACAAACCACAAAATAACATTTTCTGGTGGGAGGAAAATCACTGAATCTTTCAAGCTTTGGCACATGGAGCTGCTGCTGAAGTCAGGGCTTTGCAGCTCTGCTGCTTTTGTGCATGATGTTGGATCTGTGGAAGCATCTCAGCTGCATCTTTGCAAAAGTACATCTCACTGAGCTTTTTATTTGTTCCCAGCCGAGGGGTAACAACTACAGAAAAGTTCATTTTCTGGGGAGTGTTAACCATCAGCTTGGACTTCTCCATCATTTCTGTCACCATCTTGGCATGGGTTTTTTGTTTGTTTTTAAAATTCCTCAGGCTATGTGGTTACCTGGCATTATCAAGGTGAATAAGTTTCCAAATCAGTCTTTATTTATAGTAAATTACACAGCTATCTCATGTTTGCAACAGAATTAGATGGTTCAATGAAAGAGGTCCATGTAGAAAGGGGCTGGAACTGCACATTTTAAAAAATACATGCAGTTGTTTTCTAAAACATTAAATAAATGAATACAGCATTAAACTAGCTTTCTTTAGCTTGTTAAATATGTACTGAGAAAGGGGATTGGGTTACCACATGGATTTCACCAAAATTCACTAATATGTTTTAAAATAGAACACAACTTGAAAATGAATAAGCAAATTTGGTGTGATGTTAGAAGGCTTCAAAGCACTTGGCCTGGTTAGGGTACCACTTAAGCCACAGACTAAAAGCACTTCACAAACATCAGCAACTTATCTGCACTGGATTTAATACAGAACTGGAAATTTGTTCTTTATTTCAATTTGGGTCTATTAAGAGATTCGTAGAGGCATCGTGAAAACAAGCATTCCTATGTACCGTTTTGGCAGCGCTTGCCAGGAATGGGGTGGCAGCAGGCTGACAATTTGCTGGCACTAGGCAGAGTTTGCAGCCTGCAAGCAGTCACCCTGGCAGCAGCACTGCTTCAGGGGGTCCTCTTGAGTCTCTATCACCTCACTGCTGCCACAAACCAGAAGTGTATAAATGTGGAACACTTGCCAGCCAGCATCATCTCAGAGATGGACACACTCTGTGGGATGAGTGTCAAGGTGGAAGGGCCTTTATTTGGCCACATACCCTCTGTGGGTAAACTTTTATCAGGAATGCAAGACTCTCTTGGACCTCAGTGACACAGAGTTTCTCACCATGACTCTCAAGGTTGCTGTAAGTAGCTGGTCTCCTCATTACCAGTAAATTGCGATAAGTCTGCATCTGCGCAATTCCCCCATGAGCTAGTGGCAGTGCCCAGAACTTTGGGTGCCTTCAACTGAGCTCAAAGATAGAGAGATATTGTGGTTTGTTATTTAACTGATTTTAAATCTGGAGTCAGCCATCAAGGGAACTGCTAAATCTGTTTTTTCCTGGGAGGCAAAAAAGGAGGAGGAAGCCCAAAGAGCCATCACAGCAGTAGACAAACAGATGGCCTGCAGGAGGCCATGGGTAGCAGCTAATTTCTTGCCTCCATAAGCCATGACATGCAGGGAGAATCTCCTGGATCAAATTATGAGAGAAGAAAATTCATCATTACTATAGCTGAGTGCTGAGTGCTTTTAAAAATAAGTTCTGCAGTATTTCTCTGAGAACACATTTGTTGTTCCACCATAACTGGAACAATTCGCTTCACTAGAAACAGAGTTGGGATATCCAAGAATTAAAAAAAAAAAAAAGGATGGGGGATTATGAAATAGGTTTTTTCATTTTTCAGAATCAGTATTTTTACATAAAGTTGGGAGAATCAGGTGGTTTCTGAGGCTGGGGGACTTAAATGTCTTTTTTTTTTGCCACATAAGGACAAAACCAAAGAAATAAAACCACAGATAAGTGCAGGAGACAGTCTCCTCAGTTCTTTTCTATTTCTATCACTGATCTGTTGCTTGCAGTCTCTGCTTCCTCACCTATAAAATCATTCATCTTGTAGAAGGATTGTAAATCCTTTAAATAACTAGTACTCAGAGTTAAGGCTTATGTATCAAAGGTGCACAGAAGCACCAAGCACTTTTCAAAAAACTAGATTTTAGAAAAAAGTCTACTTATACCAGCGAACAGGAAGACAGTATTTTTGCTGACCTTTCTAAAAGTATTTTGGCTTTCTCACACTATCCCTAGATGTCTTTCTCTATCTGTTCCCACAACTTTGCCAATTTGTGAAAGGAAAACTGTCTCTGAACAGATAATCAATAGAACAGGGCAAGACAGACTGGCCTGTCTATGAAGGCAAAGAGAGGCAAAGCAAAGGAGTTTATTTAATTTGAATGGGATAGAGAAAAGACTGTTCTTTGAAGGACTTTAAAGGAGCAGAGGTAACCGTAAAGAAATATGAGCCTTAAGAAAAATTATAATTTTGCTAGATTAATAGTGATATTTCTAAAGACTATTTCTTCCAATGGTATCACAATTTCTTTACTGGTTTT